GTCAACTTTCCTGCTCCTCTGATGCTGCCTGGCCTGCTGTGTTCCTCCAGCTCCACACTGTATTGTCCCAGGAAGATCACGTGGGCTTCGGCTTTTTGGTTACTGCTGATCTGAAATTGACATCAACTGCCATCATGTGATCAGTTAAAACAAAACAGTTTAGGATCTTTCTCTTTGTGCCTCCTGGGCATCACATTGTGGTTTTATCCTCACTTTCCTGTACCTAGATCCGTTGTGTCCTGTGTTAAATATCTTATCAAACTCTGCCTTGAATAAAATCTATGACACAACCACCACCATTTTCTGGGGAAGAGAGATCTACTAGCATCTTTCTGAAAGAAAAAAATTCTCACCTCCATCTTAAAAGGGGAGCCTTTTATTCTCAAACTGTGGTTGATAATTCTAGCTTGCGCCACAAGAAATAGCCTCCTTCCCCCTCAGTACTCAGCCTATCATGTCTCTTCAATATCTTAGATATTTCTATAAGACCACTTTGCATTCTTGGAAGACCATAAGATATAGGAGCAGAATTTCACCATATCATCCATCAAGTCTGCTCCATCATTTGATCATGGTTGATATGCTTCTCAACCCTATTCTCCTGCCTTTTCCCTGTAACCTTTGATCCCACTACTAATCAAGAACCGATTTATCTCTGTCTAAATACACTCAAAGACTTGCCCTCCACAGCCTTCTGTGCCAATGAGTTCCACAGATTCACTGCGCTCTGGCTGAAGAAATACCTCATGTCAGTTCTCAAGGTTGTCCTTTCACTCTCAGGCAGTGCCCTCAGGTTCTAGTCTCTCTTACCAGTGGAAACTTCTTCTCTACATCCACTCTATCCAGGCATCTCAGTATTCTGTAAGTTTCAATTTGATCAACCCTCATCCTTCTAAACTCAGTGTACCGACTCAGATTCTCAATCACTCCTCACATGACAAGCCTTTCATCCCCTGGATCATCTTGTAAACTTCCTCTGGACCCCATCCAAAGCCAGCACGTCCTTCCTCAGATACAGGACCCAATACTACTCTCAATATTCCAAATGCGGTCTGACCAGAGCCTTATGCAGCTTCAGCAATACATTCCTGTTCTTGTATTCTAGCCCTCTTTAAATGAATGATAACGTTGCATTGGTCTTCCTAACCATCAACTGAACCTGCATGTTAACCTTAAGAGAATCCTGAACTAGGACTCGCAGGTCCCTTTGTGCTTCAGATTTTCAAAGCTTTTTCCCATTTAGAAAATAGTCTATGCCCTATATTCTTCCCACCAAAATCCATAACCTCTCACTTTCACACATTGTATTCCATCTGTCACTACTTTGCCCACTCTCCTCACCTGTCCAAGTTCTTCTGCAACCTCCCTGTCACCTCAACACTACCTGTCCCTCCACCTGTCTCTGTGTTATTTGCAAACATAGCAATAATGCCCTCAATTCCTTTGTCCAGATCATTCATGAATAACATTAATAGTTGTGGTCCCAACACAGACTCCTATGGAAATCCACCAGCCATCGGCTGCCATTCTGAAAGACCTCTTTACCCTATTTTCTGCTTTCTGCTAGTAAGCCAATCCACTATCCATGCTGATACCTTGTCCCTAACACCATGGGCTCTTACTTAGCAGCCTCCTGTGCCGCATTTTGTCAAAGACCTTCTGGAAATCCAAATGGATCACACCTACTGGCTCTCCCTTAACTAACTTGCTCATTGTTTCCTCAAAGAATTCTATTTTAGAATCCTTATTGTAACATGAACTTCCAAGTACGCTGCGACCTCATTGTTAATAATGGATTCTAAAATCTTACCAAGGTCAGCATAAATGGCCTATAATTTCTTGTTTTCTGCATCTCTCCCTTCTTAAATAGGGATGTTACAATAGCCATTTCCCATACCTCTGGGATGCTCCCTGACTCCATGACTACTGAAAAGTCACCACCAATGCCTCTACAATCTCCTCAGCTATTTCCTTCAGAATTGTGGTTTGTAGTCCATCTGGTCCGGGTAATTTACCCAGCTTCTCCTTGGTATTGGCCACTATGCTCACTTGTACCCTCTGACTCTGAAAGTTCTGATATGCTTTTGGTATCTTCCACTGTGAAGTCTGATGCAAAGTACGTATTCAGTTCCTCTGATGTTTCTTCTTCATTACTATTTCTCCAGCTTCATTTTCCAGTGGTCCAATACCTACTCTTGCCTCTCTCTTATGTTTTATGTGTCTAAAAAAAAAACCTCTTGCAATCTTCTTTTGTATTACTGGCTAGTTTACCCTCATATTTCATTTTCTACCCCCTTCTTGCTTTTTAATTTGTCCTCTGTTTTTTTTTTTACAAAGGCTTTCCAATCCTCTGGCTTCCCACTAAACTCCACCACCCCGTTTCCTTTTATGCCATCCCAGACTTCCTTTTTCAGCATAGTTGCCGCATCTTTCCCTTAGTACGTTAAAGTCCAACCTTTCACCATAGGATAATGTCCTCACTTCATGAATTAGTCAAGTGACCTTTATTTAACACGATTACATTATTTGTCCAATAAGAAATCAAAAGTGCACACTGTACCCTAAATGTAGTGTCTCCAAGACCATGTACAGCTCCAGTAAAACTTCCCAACATTTATATTCCAATGCCCATGCAATAACTGCCAAAAATTTAATTACCATCCTAATAACTTGCTGTACCTATGTATACAGTAACATTTGGGAGCACTCTGTATCTCAGACTGCCAAAGTGGACAAGTTCACATTTTTCCACATTATACTCCACCTGCCAAATGTTTGACAACTCAGCCTCTCTCTATAATCACTTTGCTGACTCTACCTCCTTAGCAGAGCTAACCAACACATTTTACTAGCTTTTTAAAAAAATGTTAAATAGCTTTCAAAATTCAGCTCCCAAAATCTATGTCAATGTACGTTCATACACCTAGTGAATCATTGACGAAATGAGAATAATATTAGAATCTTTGGATTTTTTAATTAAAATACATAAATATTTTTCAAAAAAGTGACATTGATTCTGAAGTATTTCAGTATTCCTGAAAAAGTGTCACTATATCAGGCTTGGAAAGGTCAGTTCAAACGAGAGGAATCCAGCATCAATTTCATTTGTTTAAAGCTCTCCATTAACTGGTAAGTTGTTCTTAAGTTCAGTTTGCTGATGAATTTTGTTATATTGTATAAACAAAACGTCAGAAACTGAAATAAGAAAATTCCAAGAAATAATGCATATGCATAAAAATAAACATTAATCATAAAAGAATTATGAAAGAGATTGGATAGATTTAAAATGAGGCACTTAGAAAGTTGACAGCATTCAAAGTAGAAAGCCTCCTATTTCAGATGGGATACATCTTAGGTTACTGAGTGCATCAATCAAGGAAAAAACAGAAGCCATGACAATGATCTTCCAATCCTCCATAGATATTGCAGTGTGCCAGAGATGGTAGTGTAGAAATGTTACGTCCCTGTTGTAAAAAACACAGGGAGATAAGCCAGGTAACTAAAGACCAGACAGCCTTAAACTGATGAAGAGAAACTTCTTGACCCAATAATCCAGGAAAAAATTGTCTCTTGGAAAAATGTGTTAATCATTTATAGTTAGCCTGAATTTATTAAAGTGAAATTGTATTTGACAAACTTAATTGAATTATTTAATGAAGTAACAGAGGCATCTTCTGAGGGTTGTGCAATTGATGTTGCGTATGTGAATTTTTCAAAGACGTAACAGACTTGTTTAAAAAAAAAAGCCCACAGAATTAGGGGGGCAATGGCAATGTGGAAATAAACTTAACTGTATGAGAGGGAGCAGAGTAGTGGTGAATTACCATTTCTCAGACTGGAAGGAAATGTATAGCAGTGTCCAGTCGGAATTGCTATTTGTTAAATGATCCAGTCTTGTGTCCGCAGGTCATAAATTAAAAGTTTGGAAGTGACTTAAGACTTGGAAATTGACTGAGAAGGATAGCAGCAGATTTCAAGAGGACACGGACTGGTGATAGACTTCAATTTTGCTGGGTCAAAATCCTAAACCCTCTGACTACCAGTAGTGTCGTGAGGACTGCAGTGGTTTTAAGGCAGCTGCTCACCACAACCCTCTCCTCAGTAATTAGGGATGACCAATAAATGCTGGCCCAGCGATGCCCACATTCCATAAATGAATAAAAAAGTAGCAGATAAAATTTACTCCTGAGATCTGTGAAGTGATACAATTTGGAAGGAAAAATGAGAATCAAAATAAATGATGTGGTATCAATTTAAAAAGGCAGGTAATTGGATAACTGTCAAAGAACCAATAAAATTATAATGGGCCAAATGGCATCCTTCTGTACTGCACTAGTGCACGGAACTACATTAGTATCAAAATACTCACTCACTGGATAAATTCACAGGGTGGTGCATTAGTCACTAGTCTTGACTAAAGTGTCATACTTTTGGAAATAGCCCCTATATATAATTAAAACCTATATATAAAGTTACTGAATGATTACACTTAGCATAGGTTATATGAAAAAATATTCTCAATTTTCAATTTTATTCACACTGTACAAGTCTTTTTTAAAATAAGTAACATTAGCTATTCTTAACAGCCCAGGACATTGCAATACATACACAGGCTGTGTAACTAGTCTCCTGCATCAAGTACCAAAATCTACTGGGGACAAGATGAAGGACACTAGTCAAGGAAGGGGATTCGCAGAATGGCTCATATCTCCCAAAGCCAACTGTGAATTGTTTAGCAGCTGGTTAACAGCAGAACAGGCAAAAACAGGAGCATAAATCATCCATCCAGAAATCTCAGGTAAAGAAAGATGATACGAGGTGTCAAATATCACATTCTACCACTAATGCATTTCAGTGTTGGATCATTTACGATAAATTATGATAAAATAAATGAGGTGTATACTTCATTATTATTTCTAATACCAGGAACAGTTGACACGAAATATTAACCTCCTGGACAACTAACTTCAATGTGACAATACATTATTATTGTGCTGCGAAAGTAATTTTCTTCTGCCATCTCATGGCTTCTGTCATTGTAGGCCTTATGCTCCGATGCCAAAACAGCAGTTGAGGGTGACTGCACCTACTATGGACTTATAAGAATCCTCGGAGCATTGGCCCTTTGATCCACAATGCACAAGTTTTGCTTTATAAATTTAATTAACTCTTGTGGATGGTGTTGCAAGTATTGTGCACGAACTATATTTCCAGCACTGTGCACAGATGGTTAAGAACATTCCGGTAAAACTGAAAGTTCATCATTTGGAACTATGTCTCAGGTCAATTCTTCCTCCAATCAACTGTGATTTTTTCAGGAGAGATGGCATCTAGGGCAACCAAAAACAAGACAAAGAAGTTTCTAATTAATTCACAAATCAGACGGTTTAAATCTTATTCAAATTAATTTGCTTCCAATGCACAAAACCTATGCTGGCCATCAACTATCATCAACATTGTCACAATATATTGAAAAGGATAAAAGCTCTCAATACCACTGGAAATTTGATAAGTACTCAATACAATTCATAGAAGACAACTCCACAATACTTAGCTGCTCAGAATTCAGGACTTATTGTGCAGAATGGAGTCCTCAAGAATTACTGAGATTGGTTAAAATCACTGTAGCACATTTCGCTGAGGTTGGGAATAGGCTCAAGGCACATCACTGGGAACTTGCAAATGAAATTTTGGGTTTAATTAATGATGCAAATAACCAGAAATATTTGATGTTGACACAAATCTTCTACATTATAGCACTCACACTGATGAATCTAATCAAAGTAATTTTCCAAAAAGGAAACCTGTGATATTTAATTCAAGTAGCATTGCTTAAATCTCATCACATGAAGTAAGCACTCAAAACACAATTTTCAAAACACAATACAATCATTGCATCGAAGGAACTGCAGCAGTTTAAGGTGAGTCATCACTAGATTCTCAAGGGCAACTGAAGATTACCTTGCTATCAATGCCTGTATCTCAAGAATGTATGACAATAAAACTTAGTAGAGAGTTATCAACAAAATTTTAGTGCAGTGATAGATTGTTTCATGTTAATAAAACAAAGCATGTGATTTTATAATCCACTTCAAGAATTTGTACTTGTATTTTGGTTTACGAAGCTAAATCAGATCAGAAAATTTTCAAAACTGAATTGGACCTACAAAGTTGAGGTTTATTTCAATAATGTTTATTTCAAGGGCTCTTCTTGAGGGCTACTTTTAGTTTTCAGGTTCCCTTTCATTCTCATTAACTTATTTATGAGGTGATGCACTCATGTAGTAATAATGCTTTCTATTTCTGTGTTGCCATGAGGGGTATTTAGACTCTCACGGAAGCAAAATGAGAGTATTTCATTAATATCCTTATTCGTTATCAACCCTCTGTTAAAACCTATGGAAATCATTACGTTCCTAGGCAACACAATATTAAATTGGCACAAATCAACAGACACAAGTTAACAATAGATCTTCTCAAAATAATTGAGACTTACAAGAACAGTACACAAAAATTTATTGCCCTAACTCACCTTTCATCGCCAGATGAGGTCACTGCTAATGAATTTCAACTACAAATGCAAAACACTGGAACATTTTAACCAGACAGTTAATACCTTTGAGTTTTCAGTTCCAACCTCCGAAGTTCAAAAGCTCTCTCCTTCTCCCTTTCTTCTGCCAGGGCCTTCCTTTCCTTTTCTTTTTGTTCTGCCAGGGATATTCTTTCCCTTCCGTTTTCCTCTGCTACAGCTATTCTCTGTTTCTGCTTTCAATTTTAACTCAAACTGTTTCATTTCCTTTTCATGTTCAAGCTGATTCATTTACAATTGAATTTTAGCCATTTCCAACAGCATTTCTGGCAACTGTAAATGTCGAGCTACTGCAGTAATTACCTCCCCTTTTCGCACGGACAAAGACAATGCCAACTCCAGCTTGTCTGGCAATTCTAAAAGCTCTGCCTTGCTCACTTTCTGTAAAACTCCCAAAGTGACTTCTTCCATCCCCAGGAAACTCTTAGTGACTGAAAGGGTCACTATTACACAAGGTACACCCTATTTAAACCAACCGAATGCAACACCTGAAATAAAAACACCAACATTCACCACTCACTGCTTTGGAGTCCAATAATCCTAAATCCAACCTGGAATTAAAGATTTTGATCCCGACAAGAGCTCCCAATTTGTTATGAACTGCACTATATTAAGAAGATAACCTAGACCCTAACTTTTTCTTATTTAAGTATAAGGCAATTCCAGATGCAATTTGATTGGTCAAACGACTTTAAGCAAAACACACCTTACTTTTACACTACAGTTAAAATACAGACAGAATAAAAATTAAAGAATTGGCTTAACTGTAACTATTGAAATGCTAACAAAACAATATATATATTAACTACTACTACTAATTAACTGTTCCAATATAGTAACATCCCATAAACACACGCTTGGCAAAGGCAAAATCAGTAAAATAGATTGTCTCACATAAAATCCTAGTAGCAGAAAGAGAACCCTAGCTTTTAGCTGTAACAGAGAGACGAATAAGAGCTTCCACATCCAGCTTCAAGATCCCAGCAACTGCAGAAAGCTAAAACTAACAAGCCTGGTTCTGTGGGAGCTTGACCCCACCCATTCAGGCTTCTTTTGTTCCAACTTTTAAAAATAGCCCCAAACTGGTTACGTTATTGGCTTTGAGCAGACTGCTCAATATCTCCATCTCAACCTTCCTTTATAAAAGGAAAGGCAAGATACACCTCTTAAAGCCATTGTATCATCACAGCGGTAGTGCTGCTGCCTCACAATGCAAGGGACCCATGTTTGATTCCACCTTGGGTGGCTGTGTGGAGTTTGCACGTTCTCCCTATCTCGGTGTGGATTTCTGCTGGGTGCTCCGGTTTCCTCCCACAGTCCAAAAACATGCAGTTGGATTGACCTTTTAAATTTCCCCCTAGTGTCCAGGGATGTGCAGACTATATGGTTTATCCATTGTAAATGTGGGGTTATGGGTCTGGAATGGGTCTGGGTGGGATGCTTTTCGGAGGGTCAGTGCAGACTTGATGGGCTGAAGGGTCTCTTTCTGCACTATAGGGATTCTATGACTCTATAACCAATGTTCCCTGAAAGCTGTGCAGTTGAACAGGGATGTTCTGTGCATGCCGAGTGGCGTGCTGATGCATTAGCTTCTGCTTCCCAAGGTCACTGCTGTTCATGAACCTCAGAGGACTATAAAAAATTAGAAAGAATCTTATCCTCAGCAAATGTCAATCACATCTTGACTTTGGCAAAAGCCCCATCCTCACCTCCCACTAATGCCCCAGACAAAGGTGACCCCCTCTCTCCTACCCTGGGCGCTGAAGGAGAGGCAGAGGCCTGTGATTAATTGGAAACGTCTTTCAAACAGCTCACAGATGGAGCCGTTCTGTGCTGTTAGATTATAAAGCTAGAGGTAAAACCTACTGGAGGGGGTGTTGAAGGCTCGAGATGTCTGCCCAGAAACGATAGTAAGCGTCGCCACATTAGTCCACTCCCTAGAAACATTATTCCAGTTATCAACCAGAAGAGACGGGGGTCCTGGAAACAAAGAAAGGGTAAATTAGTTCCTCATTGATGTTCTCCATTGACTACATTCCTTCATTAAATAATGTTTAGATCTGGAAGTAATAATGAAGTATGTAATCTTTATTGACGTTGCCGTGGTATATTCAGTCTTAACTCTCTACCTCATTTTTAGTACTCAATGCATTAACATCTAATTGATCAGGGTTAACATTGCTGACCTGCAAATATACACTGTTTAATGAGACAGAATTTGAGTGGGGCCCAAAAACATAACATTTAATCGAAGCTTAATTTGACATTTGCTGAGGATAAGATTCTTTCTAATTTTTTATAGTCCTCTGAGGTCCATGAACAGCAGTGACCTTGGGAAGCAGAAGCTAATGCATCAGCATGCCACTCGGCATGCACAGAACATCTCTGTTCAACTGCACAGCTTTCAGGGAACATTGGTTATTATATTTTGACATAGAAGGAAGCCATTTGGCCCATCGGGTCTGCACTAGCACTTCAAACGATCATGCCAATTTTCCTTGCACAGTATTTATATCCAAATAACCACCTAATATCCTCTTGAATGTCTCAATTGAATATGCCTCCACCACACTTCCAAGCAGTGCAATCCAGAACCAAACTATTCGCTCTGTGGAAACATGCGTTCACCAAAATTCTAATGTAAAGGGAAAACAACATTTACATTATATTGAAAGGAGAGTTCTGATTGATTGGCAGTTGGACTCTGATTAGTAGAAGCATAGCCATGGTGAATGCACCAGTCACATGATGACTGACAGTTAACAACCAAGGTTTGTTTAATTTTTGGTTTGACTGTAATAAATCAAGGCAATGCCCCAATCTATTTTGAGTTGAAAACACACTATTATACATGTTCTTGCTGTTTGCAAAGCCTGTACATTAATAGATGTAGTTTCCTCAAAGCATTGTAAAATTTTCAGGTTTCATGCTGCACCAGAATTTACAGATAGCAGCCCATTTGGGCTCATTGGGCTGAATGCCCCCTGTGCTGTAACCATCTTACCATTGTTGTATTAGTTGGTGTCTGTTTATAGGTGGTTCAAGTGGCAACACAGCAGGTCAGTGGTCAGCACTGCTGCCTCGCAACACCAGTAGCCTGGGTTCAATTCCAGCCTTGTGAGGGCTGTCTGTATGGAGTTTGCACATTCTCCCTGTGTCTGCGTGGGTTTCCGCCGGGTGCTCCAGTTTCGTCTCACAGTCCAATATGCAGGCTATGTGGAGTGGTCATGCTAAATTGTCTCGTAGTGTCCTGAGACATGGATTAGCTCGGTGGATTTGCCAAGCTAAACTCAGGGTAGGCGGCTGTGTTTGGGTGGGATGCTCTTTGGAGGGTCAGTGCAGACTCGATGGCAGAAAACTATTCGATGAGCATAGAGGCTAATGGAATGGAAAGTGGTTCTGGGAGGCAAGGGAATACTGGAGACCAAAACTATGGGAAAAGTGGCAGAAACCATTGAGAGCACCATCAACCATGTCGGGGGGATGGGGAACATCTCAGGAACATTGTTACAGACTGTTGTATCTTCAGAACAGAAGTCTTCCAGGGTGCATGCTTGAGGAAGTGTAGCTGTGGAAAAGCCTATCATCAGAAACGGAGACAGAGAAGTCAAGGAAGGGAAGGATTAGATACTGAAACTGAGTGAAATTAGTACAGACTTATTGAAACTTTCCAATCCAGAGTGACAGCAGAACACAACACTGATACAGTCATCAATGCAAGAAAGAGTTAAGGAAGAGGACTCCCCCCAACCAAGTAGGATTGTATTATGATCTTGTTGGGCCATTAACATTAAAATAGAAATCCAAACAATTGAACTGTACTACATGATTTCAGTTTTCTTCTTAAAAAGAACTTGATTGAACATAAAAGACTTCAACAAAATAAGTGCTATTAACAATATGATTTATAACTATGTATGGTATGCATTCAGTTTATGTCTTACTTCTCATAAGAATTCTTCTTTAAAATACATCAATCTTTGTTCTGTATGAATCACTATAAGCATTCTGCAGTCCTCTAGAATATTCTCCTCAGCTCCAGTCTTTAGCCAATTTAATTCAGTCCACGTAAGTTCAAGAAAAAGCTGAAGGTACTGGACACAACAAAGGCTGTGGACCCTGACAACATTTTGGCAACAATACACAGAGCACATGTGCTCCAGAAGTTGCTACACCCCTCGCCAAACTGTTCCAGTACGGCCACAACAGCGACATCTACCTGACAATTAGAAAACTACACATTCTGTGCAAAGAGAGAACACAAATCCAAACTGGCCAGTTATTGCTCCATTCTGCTTGTCATCAGTAAAGTGACGGTCGTCATCACCAACGTCATCAAGCAGTACTTGCTTCGTAGTGATCTGTTCACTTACACTGAATTTGGGTTCCGGCAAGGCCACTCCAATCCAGACCTCATTACGGCCTTGGTTCAAACTTCAGACAGGAGGGGAGAGTGCTGCCTTAACACCAAATCTGCATTTGACCAAATGTAGCATCATAGACCCTGAGCAAAACTGTAGTCAATGGCAATCAGGAAGAGGGGAGGAACTCTCTACTGATTTGAATTAGACCCGGCATATAGGAAGATGGTTATAATTGTTGGAGGTCAGTCATCTCAGCTCCAGGACATCTCTGCAAGGCTTCCTCAGGGTTGTGTCCTAGGCACAAAGATCTTCAGCTGCTTCATCAATGACCTTCCCTCCATCACGAGGTCGGGGGTGAATATATTCATCGATGATCACACAAATGATCAGCACCATTCACGACTCCTCAGATACTGAAAAAGTCCATGTCCAAATGCAACAAGACCTGGCTTGGGTTGACAAGTGGCAAATAATGTTTTTGTGCAGCACAGATGCCAGGCAATGACCAGTTCCAACAAAAGAGAATCTAAGCATTGATCCACAACATTGAATGACATTTCTATTAGTAATTCCCAGTTATCAACATCCTGGGGCTACCGGTGACCTAAAACTGAACTGGGCTAGTCTTACAATTACAGTGGGTGCAAGATCAGGTCAAGGATTAGCAATCTTTCAGTGATTGACTCATCTCCTGATTCCTTGAGGCAAGTCCACCATTTATAAGACACAACTCAGGAATATGACAAAATACCCATACGTGCCTGGTTGAGTTCAACTCAAGAAACTTAGTATCATCCAGGACAAATAACCTACTTGACTAGCACCACATCCACATTAAGCACTAATGCATAGTAACAACATGGTGTGGCATTTACAGAATGCACTTTAGAAATTCATCAATATTCCTTAGACAGTACCTTCCAAATCAACAATCACTACCAACTGGAAGGACAAGGGCAGCAGATACATGGGAGCATCGTCAGAGAGTTCCCTTCTGAGCCACACACCATGCTGGCATGGAAATATAACACTGTCCCTTCAGCATTTGAGTCAAAATCCTGTCCAAATGGACTGTGGTGTTTCAACAAAACAGCTCACCAATGTAAGAAGGAATGGATAATAAACGCTATCCCAGCCAGTGAATCTCACATCCATGAATGAATAATAATTACCAAAAAATCCTCCTGAACAGCAACATAGGTGTATTTCACTACATGGCCCACAGCAGCTCAAGAAAGCAACTCACCACCACCCTCTCATAGATATATAAATAAGAGATATTAGACCAATGGCCTGTGTGTAGCCTGCTCCACCATTGAATACAATCACGGCTGTTCTGTGACTTAACTCCACTTTCCCACCCACTTCCCACATCCTTAAGAGACCAAAAACGTTTCAGCCTGAAGAGCACCTTACATGTCTGATGAACTAATAAAAGAAAATCAGTTGTTATGCATGAGAGTATTAAGGAAGAAAAATCCCAGAGTGTGAAAACAGTGGAATAACAGTGATGTGACCTTTGAAGAAAGATAAAGAAACAGAGGGTTGGTTGCTCTGGAAAGGGCATGTCTTAGTTGCTGGATGGAATACAAGTTACTAAGAAGTTTAAGAAGGCAGGAGTCACTGTTATGATCTTCTTATTTTATATTTAGTGTGACAGAGGCTAACCCATAGTTTAGATTAGGTCATTAACTATCCCAGCATACATAAAACAGGTACGTCATTAGGATAGGATGGGATGCATATGAGGAAGTCGAGGGAAATAAGAGATAGCATTGTGGAGGAAACATCCATAATTTTCCAAACGTAGAGTGGGTGACCGCTTTGGAGAACACTTATCTGCAGATAAAGACCCTGCTCTTCCAGTTGCCTATCACGTCAACACATCACCTTGTTTCCTGGCCAACATCTGTCTCAGGTTTGCTGCAGTGCTCCAGTGAAGCTCAGCGTAAACTGTAAGAACAGCATCTCATTTTCTGCTTGGGAACTCGACAGCCTTCTGGACTCAATATCAATTTCAACAATTTTAGGACTGGAGTCACCTTCTCCATGTCCTTATCCCAACCCCCTACACCAGGCCTTGTTATCACATTGTCTGCTATAACACACTACGTATTGTTAGCCACTAATAGAACCCATTAGTGGGTATTAATTCTCCTACGATGACCATTATCTGCTCATTTGTCTGTCCAACTGTTCTCTTCTCTCTTTAGGCTCTGTCTCCACCTATCATTTACTCCTTACCTACTTTCCCCCACCCTATCTTCTGCATCAAAACCAACTTTTTCCTAGCTACCATCAATTCTGAAGAAGGGTCACTGGATTCAAAATGTTAATGATTTCTCTTCACAGATGCAGCCAGTCCTGCTGAGATTTTCCAGCAAGTTCTGTTTTTGTTTCTGATTTCCAGCATCTGCCATTCTTTTTTTTTTAATTCCATAATCTTTCCATCCTTCTTGCTTACAACAGTAGTGCCAGAGGACTAGAAAATTGGGAATGTTACACTTTGTTCACAAAATGGTTTCAGGGTAAACGCACCAATTACAAGCTGGTCACTTTAACCTTCGTGACAGGAAACCTTTCAGAAATAACTAACAATTACTTGGGCAAGTGTGAATCAATCAGGGAAAGCTATCACAGATTTGTCAGAGGAAAACCATATTAACTTGATTGAATTTTTTGATGAGTTAACAGGAAGAACTGATGAAAGTAATGTGGTTGAGGTAGTGTACATAGACTTTCACAAGACAGTTGATAAAGTGCCACATATAAGGCTAGTCTGCAAAGTAGAAGCTCGTGAACGAAAAGAGACTATTGCAGAAAAGATGTGAAGTTGGTTGACTAACAGAGAACAGAGAGTAGCAGTGAATGATTGCTTTTCAAATAACACATAGCTATATCATGGAATGCTTAGGAATTGGTATTTACGTTGTTATATGAGGTAATGGTTGTGAAAGGCCACCCGATATGATAGTGTAATATTTGGGTGAGTATAAGGTACAATTTCCTAGAATCCAGTGGAGTGAAGGCATATCCACTAGTCTGTAGCCAGAGTAATAATGTTTATCTTACTAATGTAAGTCATATCTGATTGCTATCATACCAGAAACTATATCATATTTAAGACAATCTCTTCTTATTGAAGACTGTTGGTGGCATGTAAGTAACCTAATTACATGGCGCCAGTAGCTGGCAGCACAAAACCAAATACAACAAGGTGATCAGCAGAGAGGACTAGAATTTGATTTTGATGTACAGAATGATTTCCAGTGAACAATGAATAAATTTATATTTATAGCTTTAAAAATCTAACAGCTTTAAGAATTACACCTACAGCCAGTCAGTAGCTGAAGATGTTGAACAGTGAAGCTCCCTGAAGACAAGAAATGAATATATGACTTAGCATTAATTGGTCTTTTGGCACCTTGAGCCTGCTCCATCATTCAATAAGATATCGGCTGAAACAAAAACATAAATTTATGGAAAAACTCAGCAATTCTGAGAAGTTAAAGCAGAGTTAACATGTAAACCTCCTTAATCCACCATTACCAGAAAAAAAAATCCATCATGCTTTTCTTCAATGGAGTTTTAAAAAAGGACCAGTGACCCTTCTTCAGAACCCGTTCTTAAGATACAGAATTGCTTCCAAGCTAAACACTAAACCCATGAGCTGAATTAAAAAAAACTGCAAACGACCTGCGGCTGATATTATAGCTCATAACATAAAGGAAAGCACATATACTTTCAATGAATTCCACAAGCTTTTGACAATTAGTTTAATCTGAGAAGAAACAAAGTTCTTGCAAGAGAAAAGGTTTAACAGAAGACTTCAGCTTCCAGGAAATTCATAGACATGTTAATTAATGGTTTCCACAGATTCGTTGAAAACTGTGACTACGGAGCCTTGACATCAGAATTTATAAGAAACAGGACTGATGTTGGAATTACCCCAATGAATCTTTGCCAGATTTACTACAACCAAAAGAAGATTTAACTTTGGAGAAAGCTATTTAAATTGTGCTAGAAGCAGAAGCCAGGCAGAATCACAGAGAAATGCACAGAGAAGGATGTTATCATAGGTCAGCACAAAAAAAAAATCCAGTTTGTAAGATATAAGTACCCTAAAGATATGCATGACACAAAGAGTAGGCCAAACAGCAGATACTAAGAATCAGTGTTTTTGCTGTGGAACAGGGAAGCCTCACAGACCAAAGCAGTGCCCAGCTATTAGAAAAGAATGCTATACCTGTGAAGCCATAGAGCAATTGTGAGGATATGTAGAAGAAAGACACAGGCTGGATCATTAAGTATGTTCAAGGCTGGGGTGGACATATTTTTAATCAGCAAGGGCCATGATCCCACTGAATGGCGGAGTAGACTCAGTGGGCTGAATGGCCTGCTTCTGCTATAGTCTAACTTGTTGACGGTGTCAGGACAGGATGAGGAAGTGGTTAAACAGGCAGATTTTACATGTAATGGCATTGAATGCAAAAGCAAGGAGACAATGAATGTTTTGAAGCACAGGATCAGGCTCATCTGGTTTACTGTGTCCAATTCAGGAGACCACATTTTACAAAAGGATGTGAAGGCTTTCAGGTGAGTGATGCATACACAACGGAGAGAGACGCGGTCATCACTGCGCGATTATATAATAGGAGTGGGACTAAACACAAGCTGTTAATCAATAGATCTCACCGCTAAAGTATCCAAACCAGGCTCAAAACATAAGGAAGAGTGCGAAAACAAAGAGCTTGTCTGTTCAGGATGTTTTATGCTTTGCACAGGTTAAGGGAGGTGCCTAGGAACAGGATACAGAAGTAGGTCTAACTATGGAGGAGGGAGGTGCTGAGGAGTGAAAAAAGGGCTGTGGTGAAAATAATGAATCAAATGAAATGGGAGACAGTAGTGCATGGATAAAGGAGTAAATAAAACAGGAAGCAACAAAGACGCAAGAAAAGGCAAAGGGAGCTCCCCATACATAGTGCAAAGGCATCGTACTAGAACTGTAAAAGTTGGCAGGAATTAGTTAGCAGCAAGCTGAAGGGATACGCGATGTAAAGGGATAGATGAGCGAAGAAGCAAGACATACACACTGAGATTGGTGGCAGACATGTGAAATGAATTGCTGAGGACTGTGGGCCACATATTTTTGTGCCCACCGCTGGCACTTTCCAAATCTTTCATCTCCAAGAAGCAAAGAAGGGAAGGAAAGGTCAAAAGGTCTTATTCTGTGCTGCAAGATTCTATGATTCTTCAGATGCTGTGGAGAAGGACATGCTGCTGAATTTTCAATTATCAATACCCGAAGCACAAATCATTCAGTATATATATTTTCTATCTGGTGTCCTTTACAGTATTAGCACTTTTAACAAATCTCGTCTTTTCTCAACCAATCACTTTGAATTGTCTCCACAATTAGGATTTCTTTCCTACCAAGGGTCAGAGTAAGAATTCAATGAGGGAAACTGAGATAACACAGGAGTTGCAGAGGCAAAACGTTTAATGAATATTAAAATCATTGGGTAGCTCGCAACATTCTACATAGTATCCATCATGGCTATAGCCGGCTGTGTCATATCATAGTGAGGAAGCAGGCCATTCGGCCCATCAAGTCCACACTGACTCTCTGAGTAGCACCCCGAGACCCATCCTTCTCCCTGTAAATCTGCATATCCCATGGCTAATCCACCTAACCTAAACATCCCTGGACAATATGGGCAATTTAGCATGGTCAATCCACCTAATCTGCACGTTTTGTGGATTGAGAAGGGAAACTGGAGCACCCAGAGGAAAGCCGCGCAGACACAGGGAGAACATGAAAACTCTGCGCAGACTGTCGCCCAAGAATGGATTTGAACCCGGGTCCCTGGAGCTGAGAGGCAGCAGTGCTAACCACTGAGACACAGTGCCACCCAGCACTTCACACTTGGCAGTCACCCAACCTAAACCCATACTCAAAGTGCAGCTCCATCCTTTCCAATCTAATCCACTTCTAATTTCTCACTGGTAACCAAGTGACAGTGCAGAAACAGGAGGGACCTTGAGCAACAGATGGCAAAGTCTGCCAATTACCATTTCCAAGGTGAAGGAAAGTCAGGAACAAAAACAGGAGTTGCTGGAAAAGCTCAGTAGGTCTGGCAACATCTGTGAAGAAAATAATCAGAGTTGACATTTCGGGTCCAGCCACCCTTCCTCAGCCACCAGACCCGAAATGTCAACTCTGATTTTTTTCTTCACAGATGCTGCCAGACCTGCTGAGCTTTTCCAGCAACTCCTGTTTTTGCTCCCGATTTACAGCATCTGCAGTTCTTTCAGTTTTTATCAAGGAAAAGCAGACTGGCAATATACTGGCATCAGGAGCCCCTTTCTCTTTGGTGTTGTCAGCTGACAAGTCTCTACATTAAATCGTTCTCACCTCTTCAAAGGAGGATTCCAAATTCATACCAAAGGCAACTCCCAGAATTCCAAACAGGGAAACTGAAAATGTTCCCATTGTCAACTGAAGATTCAAACGCATCATCACATTACGATGGCTGTAGAAAATCAATAGCAATTAGTGAACACATATTGATTCCCATAGGGTGCATTCCCATGTTCTACAGTAGAACAACACAATGGTATCAAGTCTATAGCAGCTCTTTTCAATTTAAAATTTTCAATTTAACATGCAATATTTTGAAATTTACATCATTTAGGCTCCCTCAAACAACAGAGCAAACAGTCTTAAATGAGCAGTAAAACATGGATTTCTGGATTCCCCAAAATACCTTCTTTGCAACAAAATCATCAGGTTACTCCAATCATTTTCTACACAATTTAAAATGTAAAGAATTGTTACAAAATTTGGTGCTTTTGTCTAAGTTATGTTTTGATCTGTTTCGGGACTAATTACATCTGTAAACAATGTTTGAAATTGCAGGTACTTATAAGAGATAAAGCCACAGTTCATATACACAACTTATACTCAGAATTAACACAAGGCAATTATGGGTTAACAGGTAAACTACAGTTGAACTTCTCACAGAACACATCAAATAGCAAATGCCGTCAAGACTGATGTCATGGATTTCTCAGTAATCCACCCAGAGACTAAATCACATTCAAACAGGGTCTCCTTGATAAGGAATATAAAATTTTCACTTTTGAAGATATCAATCTGAACTTCCTCAGAAGTCACTTTGAGTTGGACTACCTCAGAGTTTTCTTACCTCATGGTGGTTCAATCTTTTCCTGGAATTGTGCTCCCCAGATTCTCAAAGCTGCACTCCAGCACTGACTCATGGCATATTAATTTCATCTCTTTTACACACAGCTAGCTTCACTCAGTCTTTGAATTTGCAAGACCCAGTCTTTTTAGTTCTCCATTCCAGCTGAGCTGACTTATTTCTGAGACTGCACCCCACTCTTTTGCCAAGGATATACTTCAACATCTAAATACAGCCATGTCTCAGCTCCACAGCCAGTGTCAGCAATAATTGCTCACCTCCCAGATCTCTTCTCCTGAGATTACATCCTAATGGGCTTCACCAGGCTGTACCCTAGCATCTAATGACTCGCACAATTCCATCTATCGAACAGCTCTGAGCAGGACTCTTGGAACCAGCTAATAATGGCACTTTAGTATACAGGAATCAACTTCTCTGATTGCCTCTCTCACTAAAAGTAACTGATGAACTGCTATTCAGTTACCCTCAAACTGTTTCGTATGATCTATTAAATTATTCCAAAAGGGTCCGATCCTTGTACCTGGCCAGAATCAAATGTAACTAGTGGTGGAACAGCTTGTGCTATGTCACAATTTCCACAAGCTTGCTGGCTTACATAGCACAAATGGCTACAAAAGACTTTTTCACACAATAAACAGACCAACACTTCCAAGTGAAAACTTGGTGCATTTCTACGAAAGAATCATCTAGTCCAATTGCATAGGATTGTTTTTTACTTTCAAAGATGGTCAATAATAATTAAATTTGGCTTCTTGTAGAATACAGTGATGAAAGGACTAGCTTAGTACAATCATACCACAAAAAAGCCTACTTGGTCTATTGAGCTAGTGCCAGCTCTTTGAAAGAGCTATCCAATTAGTCTTACTCTCTTATCCTTTCTTCATTAATTGGCAGATTTTTCCCTTTCATGTCCAAATGAAAATACAAGTATATTACTAACCACTCATCATACTATGGAAAATGATTACTAGAACCTCAATTAATGGCATAAAATAATAGTTTTCACTATCTTTTGGCACTTGTCTCATTTCCATGTCTAATAGCTACCTAAAGTGGTATCTAAAAAACTGATGTGGCATCATTTAATTCTTTTAACCCATCTCATTTAAGGAGGCAAACAGATTGCGAGCCACCCATTTCCTAACTGGGTGCTGCATTTTATGTTCAAACACAAACAAATTCCAAGATTTTAGCTAAAATGAAGAAAATTCAAAATATTGTAAATTGTGTCAAAGACTTAAACTTGTTTAAAACTGAATTAAAAGTGTCATCCAAATTTTTTTGAAATGGCGCGTTTTTGAAATTTTAATTTCCTACTACCGAATTTGGTGCATTGGACAGTTCTCACTGTGGTCTGTAACAAATTAAAGTGTCAGTTTAGAACCAAAATCTCTAGGAAAATGCAGTGTTAATAGAAGTCTTGTAGCCAATCCTTGTACTATGCAGCTCCATTTAAAGATGATTTGCTTTAATGTCATTGCACCATTTGCATCCACAATTTGTCAAGCATTGGGAGATTTATTTTTAACATTTTTTATTTGACATGATTGGTGCCATTTTGGCACGGCCTCTCCCTCTCTCCGACTTGAGACCACTCCCTATGCCTAGTTTCCTGATCTGCTGGCCAACCCTCTGAGACTGCAGCCTGACGTCTGTGTCAGGGAGACTTTACAGAGCTCATCAGTCAGACTCCCAACCACTTGCTTGAGCCATTGCTTGTTCCTGACCATAGGTGGCGCCTGATACCTATTTTTTTTAAAAAAAGAGGCTAATGGTTGCCACCACCTACAAGGTCCACTTTTCATCACTGTGCCTAGGCGGAGAGGCAGGGAGGCCAAGGTCCTGAAGCCAGCCAATAGGATCAGTTCCATCAAGGTCTGAGTGGATCCTGGAAATGGTGGCAGACAACAATCAGAGGTGGCAGAGCCTTTCAAGAAGATGCTACCAGGTAACAGCTACAACTTGGCAGGGAACAAACAAAGGTTTGACGAGTAAAGGCTCCTTGCTTTAGGCCTTCAGCGGCAGAGTCTCAGGGAAGGGTTACCGGTCACAAGCCAGAAAGGGAACAATCTGCAGCAACCAGAAGGACCAGGGAGTGGAAAGCAAGATTAGTGGTGCGTAGAATATACTGCGACTAGAAAATTACACTTTACTTTCATAGTTTTAAAATTACATTACTTTATTTACTAATGTAGGAAAGTAGCAATAAAGTATTTCAACTTACAGGACATAATGACTTTTCTGGGGAATAAAAAGTCCTATGGAACTTACGTCTATTTTTAACAGTACCTCAATGGGAACTATCTTCCACTTAAAATTATTTCATTAAAATGTTGTGATTTTCAGAAATGCAACCATAACTTTAAGTATGGACTTATTGAACTGCACTGATTAAAAGATCAATAAATGAAGATAATCAGTTAAATAAACAACAGTATCCTGCTTCATTCATAATCATGGCGTTATAGGAGGATTGGTAATACTAACAAACCTGTCTAAGTTGATAAATATGATGCTCTCAGAATCATCTATTAATACTTTCAACTCTCGTGCTGAATTGGCCAAATCTTCAGCTTGTCGGTAATAGCTTTCAAGAAGCAATTCCATCTCCTCTGCAGGATTAATTCCCGTGATACTCTGGTCACTGCAAAACAAAAGCATGTACCAACAATTCCCAACAAACAGCACAAGTTCCTGAATTCAAATACCACAACATTTCTATGATCAGTTGTCTTTGGGACAGATCTCAAGCAACTACAATTTTAAGACAGTTCAACAAACATTATTATTTTCAAATATATCCAATTCAGAATTTATTCATTTCATAACACACAAAAGGAGCTCTTTGTGGAATCTCTATGGGTGGAGAGAAGAATCACCAATGGGTTTCCTATAGATCCCAAATAGTTATAGAGATGTAAAGGAAGGCATTAAAGAAGAAATCAGAGATGTATACAATAATGGTACAACTGCTATCATGGATGACTTAAATTTATATATAGATTGGACAAACCTGAATAGCAATGGCATTGTGGAGGAGGATTTCCTACAGTATACATGTGTTTTTTTTTAAGACTGATACATTGAACAACCAACCAGAGAACAGGCTATTTTAGACTGGGTACTATGTAATGATAAAGAATTAACCAACAATCTTGTTAAGTGAGGTTCCTCGGGGAAGAGCGACCAGAATATGATAGAATTCTTCATTAAGATGGAGAGTGAATTAGTTGATTCTGAAACTAGGATCATAAATCTAAATAAAGGGAACTATAAAGGGTATGAGGCAAGGATTGTCAAGGATGGATTAGGGAACCTTGGTGAAGGCTTGATATATTGGATAGGTAATGGCTCATATTTAAAGAAGGTATGCATGGATTACAACAATAATTCATTTCTGCCTGACACAAAATAAATGAGGAAAAGTGGCTTAGCCATGGTTTAAAGGAAATCAGTATCAGTAAGAAAATAGTGCCATGGAAATTAATGAAGTTAAAGATTGACAAATCACCAGGATCTAACAACCTAAACCCAACAGCACTAACGGAAGTGGCCCTCAAAATATTGGATCCACGGTGGTCTTCTAAAATTCTAAAGACTCCAGAGTAGTTCCTACAGATAGGAGAATGGCAAATGTAACCCACTATTTAAAAAAAGGAGAGAGAAAAAAATCTGAATTACAGACCAATTAGCCTAACATCAGTAGTAGGGAAAATGTTACAGACATGTTAACAGAATACTTGGAAAGCATTCATGGGATTGGACAGAACTGGCATGGGTTTATAAACAGGCAAATCATGCTTATTAAGTCTACTGGAATACTTTGAGGATGGAACTAGAATAGATAAGGGAGGACCAGTGAATGTGGTTTTCAGAAGGCTTTTGATACGATCTCTTGTAAGAGGTAAGAGGGCAAAGTTAAAGCACATGGGATAGGATTGTGATGAATCAAAAATTGGTTGACAGACAGGAAATAGAATGGAAAAAAATGGGTCTTTATTTGGGTGGCAGCTGGATCTACTGGTGTACTGCAGATATCAGTGTTTGCATCCTAGCTATTCACTATAAATAACCTGGATGAGGGAACCAAATGCAACATTTTAAAGTTTGCTGATGACATAAAATTAGGTTGGGGTGCAAGATGTGAGAAGAATGCAAGTAGGCTTCAAGGTAACAAGTTGAGTGAGCGGGCAAACGCATGGCAGATGCAATACATCATAGCCAAATCTGAAGTCATACACTTCAGTGTGAACAAAAAGGGTATTATTTAAATAGTAATATATTGGGGAGAGTGGATGTAGAAAAGGAATCTGGGTATTCTTGTTAGTCAGTGAGTTTAGAGAGGCAGTGCAGCAAGCAATTAGGAAGATAAATGGTATAGTGGTCTTCATTGCAAGAGGATTTGAGTTCAGAAATAGGGAAGTCCTACTGCAGTTATACATGGCCTTGGTGAGATCACATCTGGAAAATTGTGTTCAATTTTGGTCTCCCAACCTATGAAAAGATACAGCTGCCATTGAGGGAGTGCAGCAAAGGTTTACTAGGTTGATACTGAGTGTGGCAGGACTGTCCAATTAGGAGAGCTTGGTTCGACAGGGCCTGTACAGGCTGGAGTTTAGAGGATGAGGGGAGATTTGATTGCGACATAAAGAAACTCTAACAGGGCCAGAAAGACTAGTTCAGGAAGGAACTTTTTCCAGGTTTGGGGATTCTAGAATGAAGGGACAGAGTCTCAGGATACATGGCAAACCATTTAGGCCTGAGATGAGGAATTATATCTTCACTCAAAGGATAGTGAACCTGTGGAATTTTCGAACACAGAAGGCTGTGGTGGCCAAGTCACTGAATATATTTTAAAAAGATTTTAAAAAGTATCAAGGGATATAGGGAAGTGGGGATATGGCACTGAGATAGAGAATCAGCTATGATCATTCTGAATGGTGTAGTAGGCTTCAAGAGCAGAATGGCCTACTCCTACTAAATAAAAACAGAAAGAACTACGGATGCTGTAAATCAGAAACAATAACAGAAATTGTTGGAGCAGATCGGGAGGTCTGGCAACATCTGTAGAGTGAAATCAAAGTTAACGTTTCGGGTCGAGTGACCCCTTAGAAGTTCTGAGCAAGGGTCAATTGACCCAAAACATTAACTCTGATTTCTCTCCAGAGATGCTGCCAGACCTTTTCCAGCAATTTCTTTTTTTTGGGCTACTCCTACTTTCTTTGTTTCTTCATAACATGAGCACCTGTACATTATTTCTCTCCTGATTTACTCTATGTTAGGGATTGGTTCTATGGGGAAATACCATATGCAAGAACACATCTGATGACAATCACATTTGCATCATTTGCCAACTATTCAATTCCGTTTTGTTGAATTCAGATTGTATTCAGCGCAAGAAAGTGTGTTGATGATTGCAACCAACATGGTGTACTTCAGGATATTAACACAAGTAAAAATAGGTAAAAGTGTACACATACCAAACATGTTGCTCATTCCACTTGCTGAGACAAAGCTCTTCTATCTGTTTCTCTTCATCTAGAACCTCTAGCAGTGTCTCCTTGAAGACTTTTATATCCGTCTCCAACTCAGATAAACTATGAAATAAAATAAATGCAAATGTTTGCATTTAATTATGTTGCATTTAACACATCTCATATTGAGAGTGTTCCATTTATAAACACTAGGGGTTTGAGTATAGTAGGACAGGGATTGATAGATATGTAAATACTAATGACATCAAGGGATATGGGGACAGCTCAGGTAAATAGTGTTGATGTTGAATAACAGAGAAGGCTTAAGGGCCAAATGGCCTATTGTTGCTCCTATATTCTACCTCATGGCAGCCTTTCATTCAAGTACCAACATGGGAATTTACAAAGGGAACTGCTCGTGTAAGCATCATGCTGCAGATGCACCCTGCTGCCAGTGGAGGTGCTACTGTACTTATCAAATTGCACAGAGGTACAAACAAAAGCAATTGACAGATACAAAGACAAATATTTAAGCAATCTATATGCACGATGCAAATACAGTTACTGCACACACTCCATCCTAAATTCGAAGTCCTGCCTTTGTTTTTACTCTTCTGTTGTGGAATATTGTGCCACAACTGGAGTCATACCACACAACAACAAAAAAAAAACAAACCCCATCCAAATGTTCCACTAGAGCCACTCAGCTCCAGACCTTGTTACAGCCTTGGTCTAAGTATAGGCAAATCAGCTACGATCAAGAGATGAGGTGTAAATGATTGCCCTTGACATGAATGCAGCATTTTACTGAGGGTGGCAGCAAGGGGCCTAAGCGACATTTAAGTCAATGGCAACGGGAAAACTCTGCTGGTTGGAGTCATTGCTGGTACAAGCAAAATAATTACATCTGTTACAAGCAAATCATTTCAGTCCTAGGATATTGCTGTAGAGGTTCCTCAAGATAGAAAAATGCCAAACGAACATGCAGCACGGATGGAGACCATTCAGCCTTTCATCTCCATAATGGTTGACAAGAAACCTTCCAGCTAAATTCCAGTTCCCACTTTTGGTCCATAATTTTGTACGTCACCATACCAAGTGTCCAAGTGACTCTACCATCCTTTCAGACAGTGAATTCCAGATTCCTACCACCTTCAGATTAAAACAATTCTCCTGAAATCCCTTCTGAACATCTTCGCTCTTACCATAAATATAGATTCTTTATTTTGGATCCTTCAACTAAATGGGACATTTCTAACCACTATCTAGACGTGTCCTGATTTTACACCCTTCAGTTAGGTCTCCACTTAGCCTCCTTAGTTCTATAGAAAATAATCCTAGCCTATCCACTCTTCCCTCATAATTAAAATTCTCTCATGAAAGCAACATCCTTGTAAATCTTCTCTATACCCTCTTTAGTACAATCACATCTTTCCTATAGTGCAATGACCAGAACTCCACATAGAACTGAAGCTGTGGCCCAAATAGTATTTTGCATAGCTCCAGCATAGCCTTCTTGCTCGGAGGGAATCGGTTAGCTCAGTTGGCTGGATAGCTAGTTTATGATGGAAAATGATGCCAAAAGTAGGGGTTCAATTTTTGCTCCAGATGAGGTTATCATGAAGAACTTTACTATTCAACCTCTCCCCTTGCCCTAAATTCATCACAAGTCATCTCTCTAAGATAGAGCAGCTCTATTGTCCGGTAGGACTATGGCAACTTTACCTTTACCCTGCTACCAACTTTGATTACTTGGCTAAGAAAGCATCCTCTATGTCTTCATAACTCCCTTATCTACCAGTCCAGCTACCTTCAGAGTTTATGTATATACACTCTCAATTTTCCTCTGTCCATACAGTTGTCAGCATTCTACCACTTATTATGTATTTCCCATAAGGCTTTGATACCCTTCCCCAAATAAATTACATCACACACTTCTGGATTTAACTCCAATTGTGACTTTTCGGTCTTCCTGACCAGTCCATTAATAGTCTTCCTGCAGGCTAACTTTCTTCATCATCAAACACATGGCCAAAGTTTGTAGTCTGAAACATGCAGCTAAATCTTCTGTTCTAACCCTCCAGTATATTTTGAATGTTGTCAATCAAATTGTGAATCCTTTCCCAGTAAGTGGTTGTTTATGGACAACAGACAATGCAACTTGCAGGCCAGATCATCAGAAAACAAGTATTATTGAAGCAATATCTGAAATAAAAGCAGAAAATGCTGGGAAAATTCATCAGTTCAGGCAGCTTCTGCAGAGAGAGCAAAGGGAGCAGAGGTAAAGTTTCATCACACTAAGATCAAACAAGGACACTATTTGGCTGACAATGGATCAGGTGCTTTGATGAGCATGCCTGTCAGAATGAATGGGTTGTTGCTAAAGCAGTTGAATTATGCTTCACTGTGCGATTAGTTGGGTTTGCAAGGTCTATACAAGGTGCTTTCAGTAATCCAATGGTGCCATATTTAAGGCAGGAGATTGTATCTCTAATCTTGTTTGATTGAAGGGACTTTCAATTAGAAATAAATATAAGCTCTTAGCCATCTATTTAGTTCACTTTGACAACTATATTTTCACATCATAGCAGAGAACGGGAATTCCAAATGCTAAAATGCTGTGCTACATTCATCCAAGATTCAGTTAAAAGACTCTGAAGTTTAATATGCGATTGCTTGGATTCAGAAAATGTGGTGAAATTTTTATGTATTTCAAATAACATGGAACTGTTTATTGTATTTACGTTGCTTTTTGGAAATTAATTTATTCCCATAAAATTAATTTGTTCTTTTACCCTGAAATATAGAGTCAATGGTACTTCTAACAAGAACAACTTGTACTTATATTGTGTCGTTAATGTAGCAAAACATACAAAGCTGACTTTTCACAGAAACATTAGCAAACGAAAAATTGACAACGAATCACTTAAGGAGATTTAGGACAGATGACCAAAGGCTTGCTCAAAGAGATAGACTTGGAGTGTCTTCAAAGAAATGGAGGGCCTAGGGAGTTGAAAGCATAATCACTTGAGTTGCTTTTATGTGCGTAAGACCAGAACTGGACGACAATTAGAGACTGCTGAACGGTTGTACGGCTGGAAGAGTTTTAAGGGAGCTGCTCCTTTGTTTCGAGTGGGAGTGCTGGATAGTGATTTTGCAACTGCTTCATAACTGCCGGACTGACACTATTGGAAGACAGGAGGCTATGGAAGGGTTTGACAATAAGAATGAGAATTCAATATTGGTGATGGAGTGAAAGCTTATTCCACAGTCAAATACTACAAAAAGTTAACTCTCAGACAGTTGCCAAGAAAGGGATAGTGGATGGTTTGGTATATGGCATTTGCAGCTGGGGTAGAAACCAAAAGCTTTGTCTTGTCAACATTTAGTTGGAAAATATTTCTGCTCATTCAGTACTGAATATTGGAAATGTAGAGTTACAAATCAAAGACAGAGGTCTTGTAAGTGGCAGCAGTGAGCTCGATCTGGGTGAGACTTGCATAAATCTGGAACCAGACATTCATTTACAGGTGATAAGAAAATGGTTGAAGCCCTTTTAGTGTAGAACAATTCAGTCAAAGATGAATTGTTAATCTTGTAACAAGCTGACCACAAACTTTGTGCGCTGTATTTGTAAGTTTTAGGCCATAGGGAACACATGGAAACTGCTATTTAGTTCCAAGTGTGAAGAAGTGTGTTTGGAAAGTGCTCAAATTGTAACGCATCAGTTAGCTATCTGGATAATTATTAGTTTAGTCTTACTTTTTACTGGCTTGAAGTAACACATGTAGCTTGCTTCGATCAATTGAAAGTTGTTTGTGATCCACAAGGGCTTCTAAAGTCTCTAATATCTGAGGCTGTAACTCATTTAGTTTTGATTGTAGAAAGTTAATCTGGAGACAAAAAGAGGTAATCTTTCAGAAATGTGGGCGCACTCTATGCAAAGAATTTCTATTGAGTGCAGATTTAAAACAATACAAAAAATCTTAAGAATACATGGACCTCAAAAATGTAAATGGAGGTAAAGTTGGATTGTTGTAAGACTGAATTAGAACACAGAATGATGAAATACAATTGTCCTTGGTTTGACAGTTCCAAGTGTGCCAAATAGAATCAGTATATCCAGAGTCATCTTGGTATAAGTGGGCTCACAGCATTAAGGTAATCAATCACAACCAGTGAATTAAGTCAGAAAGGTGGCTTCTGGTGCACGAAAGGAAAACATTCATACTTGAATGGTATTAAGGGAGAGCCAGAGTTAAAGTTGAAGTTAATCTTATTGAATCCTTTGTGCTGCTGCTCGTGGTAAGTTCAACAGTGTGCTATTTATAAGGAAGAAAACATGCCATGTATAATTTTACTTCACTGCTCAAATAAAACCAAGCCCTTTCAGGACATAAGGTCTAACTACCGCAAAGTAAACACTAAATGTATTAATCCAGTGTTTAAATACCTATCAATGCTACAGATCTGAGTTGGAAGTAATTTTAGCTCACTGCAATTAACTTTATTTAATGATTTATATTTCTTCTTGAACAGTGACATCAAATTTTGGTAATATTTGGTAGGATAGACAAAAAAAAAAGTGAAATATACTCCACATACCACAGTTTTGTAGATAACATGTGACATTGAATTTACTATAAACAGTCATACATTCCACAAGGACAGGAGGATATATGCTCGTGGAGGTGAAGATATGTTTAAAATACCTCGTTTGTTCAAGGCCACAAATTCTATTATACAAATTGACTTTTGACTTCCTCTGTTGGCTTTTTTATTCCTGCCAGCGTAGGATACACAGAATGAAGCCAAGAGCCTGTCATTCAGCAGCATGTCGAGGGATGATACCCATGGTATTGATAGAATATAAGTATGAATCCTCCCATTTGGCAGCACCCTGGCAACTGGCTGTAATAACTTTCATTTGATAGATTTTCACTCAAATATTTGAATTTTTTGTTTGTCATTTCCATGTGGCTACTTCAAGATATATTTTGAGACCAACAAAGATCTTAGGTAAAGTTGCCTGTAATTAGCCTTTAACATTTTGGAATCTTGTACTTAGAAAGCTTTCAGAATTTGATTATATTTAGTTTTTTGGAACTGGTAGCTTGGAAATCATGTTATAACATTAGGGAAGACAAATAACCACTCTATTAATCAGAATTGAAGACAATGATTGTTATCTGTCTGTAGAGAATTGCCGTTCTGGAATTCCAACAAAATTTAGCCCAGCAGGAGGTAAACATTCTTCTTAATAAACACCGAAAGAACTGTGAATGCTGTAAATCAGGGACAAAAACAGAAGTTGCTGGAAAAGCTCAGCAGGTCTGGCAGCATCTGTGAAGAAAACAATCAGAGTTAATATTTTGGGTTCCTCAGAACTGATGGTACCTGGGAAAACTATTCAATATCAAGTTCAATCATTTTAGGGGGCCTAAACTCTCCCATGTCCCAGCCCCCTACCCCACACACCAGGCCTTGTTATCACACAGCCTGCCATTACACACCCCCTGTTGTTAGTCATTAACAGTCCCCATTAACAACTATCCACCCTCCTGGCCAGATCGTCATCAACTCCTTTGTCTGTCCAACTGTCTTCTCTGTCTTTAGGCTCTATCATTTACTCCCTACCCCACCCCTCTCCCTATTTTCTGCACATAAATTGACGTTTTCCCAGCTACCATCAGTTCTGAGGAAGGGTCACCGAACCTGAAATGTTAACTCTGATTTTTTCTTCACAGATGCTGCCAGACCGACTCAGCTTTTCCAGCAACTTCTGTTTCCATTCTTTTTAATTACTCTTCTCGATAACTTATTTATGATCTCTCCATAAATTTGAATCTAAAGTAATAAGTTAACAAATAATCAAGTGGAAAGAATTTGATTTGAGGTGGGACAATTTTTTTTTAAAAAGAGAAGCAGATATTTACATTAATCAGTGTGGGGTAAACACCTCAGACGAGCTGCATGGTCTTAATACCTCTACTAATAAATCTCCCGTGGATTTGCCAACAGTGACTTTAAGGATGTGGTAAAATGTAATGTTTTGGGTTTAAAACCTAAGGTTTGATTGGAAAGAATTGCAAAAGGAAGTCACTTATGTTCATATAACCATCAACGAACGTCCATATAAAAACATCATATATTGCATTCAGTAGCTGACCCGCAAGGAGAAATTGTAACTACTATTTCAGTTATGGCCATGATACCATAATTGAATGGAGTACACTCATCAAGAACAAAAAACTTTATTGCAAAGCTGAGGGAGGCAAATGATTCATTTCAGAAAATTTAACTATGTGGTTGGTCAAAACTTTGCACAAAGATAGATAATGTAGTGAAACATATCATTTTCTAAAACATTTCATTTGCCCAATTACACAAGTTTCCATTTTTAGGAACACAAATTTCAAAAAAATTTTGATGCATTTACAACATAAATAATTCTCATTTCACTAACCCTGTGCTGAAGTATTGCTTCTATGGCTCTGAATTCAAAAGGCAAAGAGTATGTGACCAGATGACCTTCTCCAGTTAATTGCAATGCCAGATCCTTCAAAAGCCACTGCTCCAGATTTGATTGTCGATAATCCAGGATAAGAAGATGCTCTGGAGTAATTACAGCCTTTATTATCTGTCAAAAAGAGAACAAAATGCACAACTATTACTTTGAAATTGTCGGCAAGGATAACACTAACTAAGCACGTGCATGTAAGCAAATCTAAAAGTTCCAATTTTTAATACTTCTTCATTTTATTTGCGTCAAAAACCATTTCAGAATTTATTCCCATCTTTTGCATGAGGCATTAAACTAACTCTCTTGTGAATATGAAACGTTCCAAGGGATCTTTTAAAGAGCAAATTAGATTTTTGCAGCATCCTGGGCAATATTTAAAGATCAGTCAATATCACCAGAACAGATAATCTGGTTGTTATGACAATACAGTTTGTGGGACCTTGCTGTGTGCATATAGGCTGCTGCATTTCTTGTAGAAACTACAAAGGTTTTTATTAGTTGTAAACACTTTGGGCTGTCCAGAGATCATGAAAGGCATTATGTAGGGCTAGACTAAATCTTTCCTTTCCATGATTATCCAGAGCTTTCTGTCTCCGTGACAACTGGTAGTGCATTGGGTTTCTTGAAAATCTGAAGAAAACATGACATTTTGTCTCGGTTGGATTAATCCAGAGAGATTTATACTTTAATTGTCATAAAAACATTTTTGTTTGTACTAAATAAGTGGATGGTGAGAAAGTTGGAAAAATACAGTCAAAATAGAAAAATAAAATTGAATCTAGATGTTGAGAATTTTTTCCAATTTTCCCCTCAAGCAAGAATCTTGCTCCAAAGCAGCAACTATCTTATTTCCACACATTTGCATTTCGTTGTCACCCCAACTTGCCTCATTTATATACCATAATCAATTTGCCTCTCCTTTCCTGAGAAAATAAACAGCACCAACTCCCAACATGCAAATCAGAGTGGATATGCAGTGACTGCAACACGCCAATTGTTAGTCACTGCCTTCACTCAACTCTGCCCTCACCATAACGTCCCGGAATATTCCAAGGATACTATCCATATCCCTCCCTTCACCTATGCAAGTTGAAATCAGCATAACACCAGTCTCATCATATCAACATGCTTGCTCTCAGTCCATCTCTCACATGACTTCAGCCCTTCAGGACTTGAACCTGGAGCTCAGGGACACCTAAGACAGACATACTTTTGCCAGGATGGTTTGTGTATGGAGCAAACACACATCTAACGTATCTAAACAGGGTGCATCTTATTGCTCTTGGCTTCATTTCTTAGCCGTCACTCACACTGCTTAGTTGGAGGCTGCCAGCCTGTCTGGGTCACTGAGGGAACGATTGCAGCGAAAGGGGCGATTCAAGACAGAAGGGAGGGAGCATAGAGCATAGGAGAGGACAGGAGCTCCAGGACTTTGGAAGGAGCTGGGAGGTGGGACAAAGGAAGCTGGAACGTCACTGGGGACACACCACAAAAGGGAACTTGAGAGATATTTTTGGGTGGGAATGGGAGGTGGCAGGGAGAGTCATCCTGAGACTCAGGCAGATTCTGCAAGTTCCTGACAAGGGCATGAAATTGAAATGCTGCCATCTCCGATGCAAAGTCAACTGCAGAATAATTAAAAAAAAGTCTGTAACCTCACGTAGAGTTGGCAGAGTAAGTTACCTTTCTTTTAAATTCATTCACAGGATGAGGGAAATTGCTGGCTAGTCCAACGTTCATTACCCATCCCTAATTGCCCAGAGGGCTCCTTTATTTCTTTTGGGGTCAGAGGGAAATGACTTTTATGTTCCTGCTAAATGCACTGGATTAATCATGCATCCACTCCACCCATCTGCAATCTAATTGTGATTAATTGGCAGGTCATTTATTGTCCAAGAACACACTTTACTAATTATGGCCTCATCCAATGACCATTGCATTGTTCACAGAATTGTCTCCTTGTCATGTCAGTTAAGCAAATATAACAAGATGCTAACCTAAAAGTGTCACCTGGGCATGACATTACTGAAATTCATTCATAGCTATCAGTGGAAGACAGCAATTTGGAGCAGTTTTATTTGCACACTGAATCTTAAATATGCAAGGACACATCCTGTGATGTGAAAGGTTGCCATTTTTTGACGGGGTGATGCCTATCACAGTGGCAGTATCCCATTCCATCAATGTAGCATTGATTGAATGGACACTTTGGTTGTGCAATCTATATTTTGATAAGTTTACATACCTCCGAGCTCTTTAGTGAGACCTGACATTGGCCTCCTTGCAGAGCCTCCATGTCACACTGTGCCAGGGCATAGCAGGAGGCTTGAGTGTGATAGATAGGAGGACTCAGGAGTACCATTCGGTATATGGTTTACTTGTTCTGGCAATCCCCACAGATTATCTGCTCATGCATCTGACATGAACATCACTGGCTGGTGACCTTGTGGTGATACTTCAAAATGCAAAGATAACATTCAAGGAGAAAGCAATCACAAAGTTATGAACAGAAGCCAGCAAGAACTGGAACCTCCACAAATTGCCACATGGCCTCGAGGGGGGAAATCAGCAAGTGAAGTTTCCCCATGAGGTGGAAGAGAATGATGCAACTCAGAACTTAGGCCTCGCTGTTATTTTCTCCAACTCTGTCCTGGACCAAACTGTCATAATTGTTGAAGGAGGACTTGTGCTTGGAAGGACTGATGGGTGCCAAGGTCACAGTTATCCTGATTGGTGCACGCTAGGGACTCGTTTCAACAATCAACTGGGGACCAGTCTGGCATCGCTGAATCCTCAACCCAAAAAATAACGGGACATAACTGGTGCCAATTTCTCCAAATCATAGCAGTTCAAACCTTTCCCCCATGATGAGAGTCAGACAGACCAGGCAGTGAGATTCTTCAAGGTACACGGCAGTACAGACTGCACCCACATTGCTTTCAGAGCATTGGTGTATCACCAATCTGCAGGATTCATCAACTGAATGGCCCACACTCACTCAATGTTCAAATTATATGTGACTAGTGATGCCAGACTGTGGAGGTCTGAGGTAGATACCTTGGGAGCTGTCATGATTCATACATACTGGGGAATTTGTAGGTTTCTATTTTCTTGGGCAGTACAGGGATGCCTGCTAAAAGCAAAGGGCCACCCCTTCAAGCATGGTCGATGAAACCCCCGTTAAACCCTCAGACTGACACCAAATGGAGATACAAGGCCAGCCATGCTTTCACAAGAGCCACAGTGAACAGACCATAGGCCTTCATAAGCTGATATTTGAAACTTGGGCTGTTCTGCTGAGGCCTTGCAATAAAGCATCATTGTGACAAACCGTGCCCTACTGAGTGGAAAAATCAGAGACTCTAATTGAAACCTGCTTCCAAGATGAATGAACTGGGTTTGGACTTCCCTTCATTGTTTAACATTCTATCAATTATATGGCAAGCCCCTGCTTACTGCAAACAACATGTGAGCATTGCTATTTTCACAACTGATGCATTCTGTTGCTGAATAACAGTGTCATTAGCCATTTGATTGTACGGTTAAGTATCTTTCAAGAAACTACACATTACAGATGCAACTGACCGCCAGGAAAAGGCCGCAAGCAGTGAGACAGCCAACCACCATCATTTAGTGCTAAGGTTAGGTAGCTCTTCAAGCTTCAGTCAGCATATGATATTTAAGTGTTTCAAATAAAAACCTCTCACATTAGGCTGTAAGTTCAGTGGAATCCTGAGGCATCTCCTTTTAATGCATCAGTCAACAGTTAGCCTTCACTGTTTCAGAGCATGCTTGGACTTGTGCTGAAATGTGTCGAACGTGCAATAAACAGTGCTTAGTGCAGCTTTTATCAAAGGCCAATGCGCTATGAGAGAGAATGGACATGTCAGGTGCTCATTGTACATTCCCCATTATTGACTAGCAATGTGCTCCCTTGAAAAGCTGATAGGTAGAATGAACCTCTCTCTCCACAGAATCATCACTGATCTTGCACTTTCACTCATAAGATGGGTGTAAGATGTGGGTGGGACAGGCCCTAGAACAATCCCTATGCATTGCATTTAATCTCAGTGTTGTCCATATTAAAGTGCAAGGTCTTGGCTGCACTCATCAACAAGGTTCTACAATTCTATACTTGGTGTCTGAGGCTATCTGCGGGAAAGGAGTCGGTAGTTTGAGAGATGAGTAATAGATGGCCATCACAACTTCTTTCAACCTTAGGATACCTGAAGAGGCTGCTCATCTCTCAGATAGAGCTGACTTAACCAGGTCTGACAGTGACAAAGACAAGGGATCAGACATTCATGAGCAAATGGATACTTGTCTATAAACGTGCAAAATTATTTACAGTTGTGTCTCCTTTGCCACTTACACGCCCTCAGTAAGACTTTTCGTCTTCCTCTCACTATGTCTACATGCAGTCCTGGCCTCTGAAACTGGAGTGGAGGGAGCCTACTCTTTGCTCTATTGGCCTGGATGACGTGGGTGGTGGTCCCAGGGGCTGTTTGGCCCTAGTGGACCCTGGCCTTCTGAGAACCTCCTGCCCAGTTGCAGGCTCACCCGCCTTGGCTTGAACTGCTGTAGGTTTGTGGATCACAGGCTGGGAGGAGGTGGGTGGGGTGGGCGCTTCTGAAGTGTCTGGAAAGGCACATTCTGGAATCCTTGAACTGGTTCCTCTTCCCTATGGATGGTTGTCAATACCAATGAATCTTCCTGAGGCGAAGGATACCTAGAACAAGGTCAATGTCCTTTGTTCCCCTTCTTGCCTTGCAGTTGGTTCTGGACAGCTCTGGCTACAATAATGTACTGTAGGTCTGTGCGCATATCTGGCACCAACACCCTGCACGATTCGAATAAGATTTCCCAATTTTTAAATTCCAACCCCTTTGCAATAAAGGCTATAACACCATTTGCCTTTTTAATTACTTGCTGTATGTGAATGTGAACATTTTGTGTTTCATGAACAAGAACACCCTGTTGCACTTTTTTGGAGTCTCTCTCCATTTAATTAATAGTCTTGCTATCAAAGTGCATGACCTAACAATTTCCTACATCAAACTCCATTTGCCAAGTTTTTGCCCACTCAATAAACATATCTATATCCTCTTGCAGATTTGTTATGCCCTGATTACAAAATGCCTCCTAAAAATTTTTGTATTATCAGCAAACATGGATAAATTATTCTGTTCCTACTAGTCCCAAATCATTAATAAAGATAGTAAACAATTGAAGCCCGAGGACTGATCCTTGCAGCACTCTACTAGTCGCAACTTTCCAACCTAAAACAGTCTTGTCAGTCTCCACTTTCTGTCTTTTATGTCAATCAATCCAAGTTAATACATTACCCCTAATACTGTGACCTCCTATCCTGTGTCTTTTATGTAACATCTGATCAAGTGCCTTCTGGAAATCCAAATACATTACATCTACCAGATCCCCTTATTAACCTTTATTATTAAGAAGCAATCCTTAATGGTCTCTAGAAATTTGTTTTCCATGTTACCTTTGCCCACTTGATTTGTCCAGTCAATATGCAAATTAAAATCACCCACATGGCTATTGTAGCGTCCTTCTTACACATCTCCATTATTATTAGATTTATACTTTGTCCTACAGTGAAGCAACTCTTTACAGGCCGATAGGCAACTTCCACCTGTGACTTTTTCCTCTTGATATTTCTCATTTCCACTAAATTGATTCCACATCATGATCTCTTGCACTTATGTCATTACTCACCATCACACATACTTTCCTTTAAAAACAAAGCTAACCCATTTCCAAAACATTAACTCTATTTTTTTCTTCAGTGATACTGCTAAACCTGAGTTTCTCCAGCATTCTCTGTGTTTGTTTCTATTCTTCCAGTTAGTTGCACAATGAAGCTGACCTGATGCACTCTCCTCCCAGTTCCAATGGGTCTCTCCCTCTTTGAGGGACAGAGACAAATGGGAACACCATGACCTCCTTGTCACTTATCACCCCGATTTGGACATACATTGCTATTCTTTCATTTTCCCTGCCCCAGGATCATGGAATTCCCTAACAGCATAGTCAGAGTGCCTTCATTATAGGTACTACAGCAGTTCAAGTAAAAATGTTCACTTCAAGAGCAACTAGGAATGGGTTCTAGATGCCAATCATGTTTCTGTTATGCTTACCCCGTGAATGCAATGAAAGAGAGAGATTTTCAACACTGAATTAACCCGAAGCATCACTGAGAGCCTTCTTACCTCCATTCTTAGGATGATGCAATTATTCCTCGTATTAATGCTTGTTAAATGTTGAAATCGTAAATCTCGAGCCTGAAGGCCAAGTTCCTGGTATAGTTCCGTCTTCTTTCGTTCTAAGATGAAAAAAATCACTATCATTGAATCAGTTTGCGCAATAAATTGGGAATGTTTACCAGCTCTCACAACTTAAGAAAAACAAATACACTAGAGAAGGTGGCACTGAATTTAAGTATAAGCAGACTCATTCTGCCACTTAAACCACACATCAAACTAAACATTCAGCAGCATTAATATGAATTTCATCATGTTACATTGACTTAGTGCCCACTCTTTGCACGCATGCCTCAACAGATTTAGGCTCTGATCAGCTGTCTATGGAATCAGCCCTGCAAAACCATGGAATGCTAACACCTAATCAGATGTAAGGGGGCAGAATTTTTAAAATGGCTTAGGTCTCTTGCAAAGGGCAGTGAGGTGCCATGACCGATCACCACTGTTTGCCCAATGCCTGTTGCTGATGAAAATTAAATCGACCGACTTTAAGAAATTCAAAGCATAGCTCAACAGGAGGCAGTCAACTTTACAGCAGTGAAATGCCCTCTTTTTGGAATCCTCTATAAATCCCTCCACTCTCTCTCCCTTAAAATCCATCTAAAGTTTAGATTTTCCAACCTCAACCCAATATTAAGTTTAGTGGAGCAGGAAAGTTGATGTTTCGGGTCAGGAGCCTTCTTCTGAAAAAGGGTCCCAATCTGAAACGTCAACTTTCCTGCTCCACTGATGCTGCCTGGCCTGCTGTGCTCCTCCAGCTCCATACTGTGTTATCTCTGACTCCAGCATCTGCAGTTCTTACTATCTACAATATTAAGTTTTATTGGTTTCATGCTTAATTATGCATCTGTGAAGCAGCAAGGGGCCTTGTTCTGCATTAAATAAGTGTTATATAAATGCAAGTTATTGATGAAACAGACCTGATTGCATGCCCGACCTAAAATGATAGAAGGATTTAAAATTAAATGAGAACTACCTGCTTGTTTCTTTTATTGGGCCACTGAAGATACACATAGGATAAGCAATTAAGAAGATGACTGCGTAGTGAGGGATTGGCACCACAGGGAGGTTGAGATTAAGACTGATTTACGAATTGATACAAAAAAAATTTCTCCTGACAATGAATACATTTGGAAAATATAAGAGTTGAAGGCAAACTTACCAAAGAAGCTTACATTCCCAGCACTGTCATATCTCATCTGTAAAATAAATATTCTTAATGTGGTACTTGCATATTTTCTGTGAATTTAAAAAATACAGATTGTACTTACCACAGAAAATACAGGAATCACACTGACAAGTGTCGTTTGTGAGGAGTCTGTACTGCGGTATCGCCAACCAATTACTGAAGAAAGTGAAAAGATGTAAATATTAAAGACTTGCTTTCTACACAAACAAGTATACCTGTATGCTGGTTTGCTACTAAATATAGAATCGAAAAATTATTTAGCATAGATGAGGCTCAGACAACATTACCTACAAGTCATTAAATATGATAAAGATTTAGCACAGAAAATAGGAACAGCAAGACTGGCATCTCTGAGGGGAGAGATTAAGTTGGGATCTTGGGCTGAGAGACCTAGGGCTGTTCAGTACTGAAACAAAGGTTCAGACTTCCTAGCGTAATCCCATTGGTTTTCAGCATCGCTAAAAAAATTTACTTGTCCATCTAATCTGATCGTGTGCAAAATGGATGCCATATCATTTCACATTCCCAATATAGACCGTATTTGAAAAGTGTATTTCATGCATTGTGAAATGTTTTGAAACGTTAATGTCACAAAAGTGCATGAAAGCCAATTATTTATTTCTTTGTCCAATGTTAAATTAAATCCATTTTAGCATGGCAGGTGATGCTGAATGCAGCCTTGCAATAATTTAGACAATTACACACCATATACATGGAGATGACATCAGATGGAGCACAAGTTACTGAAAACTTGTGTAGTGAATGGCCCATAGATAAACTACCCCAATAAACTAACACTAGGATAAATTACTCTAGCTTGATTCAATATTTGCAATGGAGCTGTCATATTTGAGGAGTAAGAGGGACACAGTACTATTTCAGTCATGATCTAACTGAACGGCAGAAGGGGGAATGGTCTATTCCCGTTCCTAAATTCAACCATGCTTATTTTTTCAGTTCAACATGCCAATAATGAAATGCAAGTTATTGTTTCACCTCAAAGCTGTGACTGTGTGTCATCTAGATAATAACCTAAAATTTCTTCTTTAAGTCTACTTGACTTATTACTTCATCCAATACCAGTACCCAAGAGTTATCAAAGCCTTCCTCTTCCAGCATCTCCTAATTTTTACACTCCCTGGTCTAGTCTTTACATGAAATAACTTTTCATTTTTATTTAATTCTAGGCTCGGCAAGTGCCAGTTGTTGCAATGAAGTCAACATCCAATCTTCAATAATTCCAATTTCCTTTTCTTCTAAAAGGTAGTTTGGAGTTGACAAAATAGATGTTTTGCTTCTTATGCTTAAATAGGCTTCCTTACAGAAGATGCCATGCTGAAATAGTAGGATGCTGCAATAAAAACAAAGTGCTGGAAAAACTCAACAGGTCTGATGCTGTGTGTTGAGGGAGAAACAGAGTTAATGTTTAGAGTCCAAGAACTCTTCCTTAGAACAGGAGAAGACTAGAAAATGATCTCTTTTATCCTATTGGCAAAGGGGGAGGAGGAGCAAGAGAAACAGATGATGAGGATGCACCAATGCCAAGCCAATGGGAGCGCTAGGAGTAGTCCAGGAGAGATTGGTATACAATCCATGTGCTAATAATAGGTGCAAAGGATGTTGCTTTTGGCCATGGTTTATCCTTGAAAATAATACATTATGGAAGGCATTGCCTGGAAGAATGGAAGCAGTGGATTCAATAGGAACAAATTGTATGCTGCAAAGGCTATGTGCCCTGACAACATTCTAGCAATGATACTAAAGACCCGACCTTCAGAACTTGTTGCTTCCCTAGCCAAGTGACCAGTACAGTTACAACACTGGCACCTATCCAACAATGTGGAAAATTGCCCAGGTATGTCCTGTACACAAAAAACAGGATAAATCTAACACGGAAAATTACCGCCCCACCAGTTTACTCTCGAACATCAGTAAAGTGATTGAAGGTGTCATCAACAGTGCTATCAAGCAGCACTTGCTTAGTGATGCCCAGGTTGGGTTCCACCAGGGACACTCAGCCCCTGACCTCATTATAGCCTTGATTCAAACATGGACAAAAGAGCTGAATTCCAGAGGTGAGGCAACTGTGATAGCTCTTGATATCAAGGCTGCATTCGACCAGGCTGGTGTCAAGGAGCCCGAGCAAAACTGGAATCAAAGGGTATCAGGGGGCAAACTCTCTGGTGGTTGGAGTCATACCTGGCACATAGGAAGACGGTTGCGGTTGCAAAGATCAGTCATCTTAGCTCCATGCCATCTCTGCTGGAGTTCCTCAGGGGCAGTGGCCTAGGCCTAACCATCCTCAGCTGCTTCATCAATGACATTCCCTCCATCATGAGGTCAGAAGTGGGGATGTTCACAGGTGAGTGCACAATATTCAGCACAATTCATGACACTTCAGATACTGATGCAACCCATGTTCAAATGCAACAAGATCTGGACAATATCTAGGCTTGGGCTAACAAGAGGCAAGTGATATTTGTGCCACACAAATGCCATACAATGGCTATCTCCTATAAGAGACAATCAAATCACCACCTTTTGACATTCAATGGTATTACCATCACTGAATCCTCCATTATCAACATCCTGAGAGGGGAATTGCCATTCACCAGGAACTCAACTGGACTAGCCATATAAACAGTGGCCACAACAGCAGGTCAGATGCTAGAAATACTGCGGCGAGTAACTCACCTCTTGACTGCCCAAAGACTGTCCACCATTTACAAGACACGAGTCAGGAGAGTGGTGGAATAAATCCCAGTTGCCTGGATGGGTGCAGCTCCAATACACTCAAGAAGCTTGACACCATCCAGGACAAAACAGCTTCCTTTCTGGCACCACATCCTCCAACATCCACTCCCTCCACACTGATGCTCAGTAGCAGCAGCAGTGTGTACCATCTACAAGATGTACTGCAGAAATTCACCTAAGATCCTTTAGAAAGCACCTTCCAAACCCAAGACCACTTCCATCTAGAAGGACAAGGGCAGCAGATATATGGGAACACCACCACCTTCAAGATCCCCTCCAAGCCACTCACCACACTGACTTGGAAATATATCGCTGTTCCTTCACTGTTGTTGGGTCAAAATCCTGGACTTCCCTCCCTCAGGGCATTGAGGGTCAACCTGAAGCACGTGGACTGCAGAGGTTCAAGGAGGCAGGTTATCATCAACTTCAAGTGCAGCTAGGGATGGGCAATAAATGCAGGCTAGCCAACAATGCCCACGTCCCACTGGTAAATTAAAAACTACATGAAATTGGCTGGAAATTTGAAATAGGAAAAATTTCAAGGCTGTGGGGAGGAAAGAGGAGTAGGCCAAATTGTGACACGTTTTCATAGCACCAAATAGCCTTGTTCAGTGCTGCTGTATTCTATGTTAATCATTCCAAGATGATTAGATTTATTGTTGATTATTAGAAAACAATGCTTTTTGTCAAAACAGTAATAAGGACAAAACACACCATCATGGTATCCAGTTTGTGGCCATCTCCTGGAGGATGCTTGTGTTAGTTAGGTGGTGACCTATCCAGTGACTTGCCGGATTCTCGATGTGTAGTGCCAATGGTAAGTCTTGAGCTTTCTGAGATGTCAGTGATATGTTTCACAGGAGTGCGTGTCAGGAGGCCAGCTACCTGGTAGACTGCAAACTTTGTGCATGCCTGCAGGTGATGGCTAGTTAAGATTCACTGAATTCTGTGTAGGATCTTCAAGTCTATGATTCCTGACTGGGACACCTGGTTACAAAATGATCAACTGCTTCCAGGAGGCAACCTACAGCCCAATAAGCTTGGAAATTTTGAGAGAGGCCAGTTTTGGCTATCAGAGGACATTTGCCTTTTCAACATTTAGGTGCAACCCTAAACCTTGATGTTTCTTTTAAAAGGTCAAGGGTGGTACACTCATGCAGCAACTGGACAAGGTCAGCTGCTACATCAGCGTACCGAATACTTGCATTACAAAGTGCAAAGTCTACTCCCAATTCACCAACGGTCAAACATCACAAGGCAGCCGATGGAAACTTCTCAAAGATACCCTGAAAGCCACTTGGAGAAAGTTGGCTTTGACCTCATCAGCTGGGAAGTGTGCAGTGGACTACCCACAATGGTGAGCTCTGTGTTCTGAAGGTGTAGCTGGGTTTGAAGCAAGGTGGATGATGAAGGCCGAAGATGGAGAAACAAGAAAGTTCTAGAAGACATGCAACCTCTCATCTAGCAAGGACTGGCTAATTACTGATTTATTTTCCATATCAACACCCTTTCAGTTGATCACTTTCCCTTTCTATCCCTCTAATATTGTTCTGGCTTGAACATCTCTCTTATATGCTCGCTTTTTCCTTTTCTTCCCTCTCTCCCTCTGACCACAATAGAACTCAATGGGAAATGTCTCCGCTTCCAAGACCCACCAATTATTAGTCTAGTCAAACTGTACGTATTCCACTTTTCTGTATTTACTGCCATGACGAATTATAGCGTAAATACAGCTTCAATAAATTTGTGCATCCTAAATGCATACTCACACTGCCTGTTTGCGCTGAACTGGAAGATATGTTGGGGATGAATTTCCAATCCGCATGCATGCGGTGCGGATGTTCTTGTTTCATACACACACTTTGAAATCTTACACATGGAACCGTATTTAAAAGATGAAAAATTAACGAGACCGGCTTTAAGAATGGCCCGCTCTTTGAAAGAACGTAGCAAACACCTGGACAGTCCGTAAATCTCCATTCAATTCTGGTTTGAACTTCCTTCACAGCCAAAGAATAATTGAGACCCAATAAATGATCGCTTCAGCGACGAAGGGCATGAAGTTCTCTCCCGGAAGAAAACAGCAACAGCCGTAAAGTGTCTAAATTAAAAGCGACCTCCTAAAGAAACTTTCGCAAATACGAATAAAGACCGGCTGTCCAGAAGGTTGTTATGACTACATCACGGAATATACAAAGCAAAGAAATGCGCGAGGTTCGAAAAATCCAGGCAGAATTCGAAATTAGAATGTATCCTTTAGTAACAGAGTAACAATTCCGTCTCAGGGATCCAACCCCGGAAACTGACATGTTTCAATGTGCGCAAGCGCGGCCCGGCCGGGTGGTATCCGCATGCTCAGAGTTGTATTCTCTTGGCAGAATAAAGGAGCAAATTACTGCAGATGATGGAATCTGTACTGAAAACAACAAACGCTGAAGATGGACCCACTTGTCTGTCCTGAGCATGTTACAGTGAATCACAGCGCAAACTGGAGGAACAACATCTCATCTTCTGACTAGGCACTTTACAACCTCCTGGACTTAATATTGAATTCCACGCCTTCAAACTGTGAACCAACTCCCATTTCTTCCTTTTAGTTTTATTTGTTACATTGCCACCTCAGTGGGACTGCCTGCTCTTTCAAGTCTAGCAGTTAGACACACCATTATTCTGAGGTAGCAAGAACTGCAGGTGCTGGTGTCAGAGTCAATATAGTGTGGAGCTGGAGGAACACAGCAAGTCAGGCAGCATCAGAGGAGCAGGAGAGTAAACATTTTGGGTTTAAACCCTTCACCAGGACTGGGGAGAGGGAAGAGAACTGGGAAATAGGGGAAGATGGGTGGGGCTGTGGGAAGGTAGGTGGGATGGTGATAGGTGGATGCAGGTAGGGAGTAGTGGAGATTGGTCAGTGGGAAGGGAATGGCAAATAGGTGGGAAAGAAGATGAACAAGTAGTGTCAGTTCAAGGAGGCAGGGTTGAGAGGGAGGGTTGGATGTGGGTTGAGGCCAGGGGTGGGGAGATTTTGAAACTGGTGAATTCTAAGTTGAGGCGATCGGGCTGTAGGCTCCCGAACTGGAATATGAGGCGTTGTTCCCCCAGTTTGTGTGTGAGAGCATGGTGACACTGGAGGAGGCCCAGGATGGACATGTCACGAAGGGAGTGGGAGGGGGAGTTAGAAAGGTTGGCAACTGGAAGGTGTTGTGGCTTATAGTATACAGAGCTCAGATGCACCATGAATCTGTCACTGAGTCTGCGCTTGATTTCATTGATGTAGAGGAGGCCACATCACAAGCAACGGATACAGTAGACCAGGTTGGAGGATGTATAGGTGAATCCCTGTTGGATTTGGAAAGATCATCTGGGGGCCTTGTACGGAGGTGAGAGTGGAGTTGTAGGTGTTGGGGTAGGTATAGCACCTCCTGCACTTGCAGGGACAGGTGCCCAGTGTGGTGGGGTTTAGTGGGGTGTGTGGAGTGGACGAGGGAGTCACGGAGTGAACGGTCCCTACAAAAGGCAGATAGGGGTGGGGAGGGAAATATCTCTTTGGTCGTGGGGTTGGATTGCAGGTGGCGGAAGTGGCGGAGAATGATGCGCTGAATGTGGAAGTTGGGGTGGTATGTGAGGACCAGGGGGAATTCTATCTTTATTTTTGTTGGGGGGAGGGGGTGTGAGCTCAGAAGTGTGGGAAATGCAAGAGATGTGGTTGAAGGCATTTTCGATCAACAGAGGGGGATGTTGTGATCCATGAAGTAGGCAGAAATCTGGGATGTCTGAGAGTGGAACGTTCCATCTTGGAAGCAGATGCGGCAGAGGCAGAGGAATTGGGAGTAAGGGTGGGTGCGAGGAGGTGTAGTCAAGGGAGTCGGTGGGTTTGAAATAGATGTCGGTGCTGAGACGGTTACTGGAGATGGAGATGGCGAGGTCTAGGAAGGAGAGGGAAGTATCAGAGGCGGTCCAGGTGAATTTGAGTTTGGGGTGAAAGTAAAGGTGATGACTTGTTCAAGCTCCTCATGAGAGTATGAGGCAGTGCCATACAGTCATCAATGTAGAGGAGGGAAAGGTGAGGGATGGTGCCAGTGTTAACAGCAGAAGAGAGACTGTTCCACATATCCTTTGAAGAGGCAGGCATTGCTTGCACCCGTATGGATGCCCATTGCCATCCTTTTAGTTTGTAGGAAGTGGGAGAAGTTAAAGGAAAAGTTGTTGAGGGGAAGGACAAGCTCCATTAGGTGGATGAGGGTGTCGGTGAAGGGAGACCAGTTGGGCCTGTGGGAGAGGAAGAAGCAAAGGACTTTTAGGGCATCTGTGTGGGGGATATATGTGTACAGTGATTGAATGTCCATGGTGAAGATGAGGTAGTAGTGTCCTGAAGATAGGTGGGGAGTTCCTGGACCGGGGAGTCAAGGTGGGTGGAGATGTATCCAGTGGGGCTGGAGCAGGCAGAGACAGTAGGTCGACCGGGGAAGATCGGTTTGTGGATTTTGGGAAGGAGATAGAAACGGTCGGTGCAGGGTTGGGGAATGATTAGGTTGGAGGCTGTGGGTGTGAGGCCTCCTGTGGTGATGAGGTTATTGGTGGTCTGAGAGATGATGGTTTGGTAATCAGGGGTGGGGTCATGATCAAGGGGGCAGTAGGAGGAGATGTTGGAGAGTTGGTGCCTGACTCCACGATGCAGAGGTCAAGTGTGCCATACCACCACCACACCCCCCCCTTATCATGGGTTTGATGGTGAGGTTGGGGTTGGAGGGAGCGGACGGCTGTGCGTTCCATTGGGGAGAGGTTGAAGTGAGTGAGAGGGGTGGAGATGTTGAGGCGAGATGATGGCAGTTGGAGATGAAGAGGTCGAGGGAGGGTAGGAGGCCTTGGGTGGTGTCCAGGAGGATGAAGTTTGGTGGAGGCGGGAGAAGGGGTCTGTTCAGGGTGGGTTAGACTCCCGGTCAAAGAAATGGGAGCGGAGGGGGAGGTGGAGATGGCAGAAGAAGAGTTTGAGATCCAAACGTGAACGGAATTCATTGATGTGTGGGCACAGGAGAATGAAGGTGAGTCCTTTGCTGAGGACTGACCATTTGTCCTCAGTGAGGAAGAAGTCTGGGGGTATGGTGAATACACTGCAGGGCTTGGGGCTGGGGCTAGGTGTGGGGCTGGGACTAGGTGTAGAACTGGAGCAGGGAGCGGGCTTGGAGACTGTCTCAGGAGTTAGTGTGTGTATGGGAACAGTCACGTGGGTGGAAGCAGACCCTTACTCTGTCTTTCTCCACCCCCTGTCCAGGAACTCACCACCAACTTTCGGAACACGATCCATGCCCTCCATCTCTTCCAAGACTTTCAATTCCCTGGCCCCCAACCCCTCATCTTCACCATGGACATTCAATCCCGTACACACGTATCCCCCACTCAGATGCCCTAAAAGTGCTCCACTTCTTCCTCTCCCACAGGCCCAACTAGTCTCCCTTCACTGACACCCTTATCCACCTAATGGAACTTGTCCTTCCCTTCAACAATTTTTCCTTTAACTCCTCCCACTTCCTAAAAACTAAAGGGATGGCTATGGGCACCCATATGGGTCCAAGCTATGCCTGCCTCTTCTTGGGATACATGGATCAGTCCCTCTTTCGCTGTTGCACTGGCACTATCCCTCACCTCTTGCTCCACTACATTGATGTGGAAGTGCCAGAGTTGTATTGGGTTGGACGAGGTCAGAAATCACATGACACCAGGTTGTAGTCCAATAGGTTTATTTTAAAACGCAAGCTTTCTGAGCTTCACTCCTTCAGGTGTTAGTGCTAACACCTGAACTACTAACACCTGAAGAAGGAGCGAGGCTCGTAAAGCTTGTGTTTTCAAATAAACCTGTTGGACCATAACCTGATGTCGTGTGATTTCTGACCTTGCCTGCTACACCGATGACTGTATCAGTGTTGTCTTGTGCTCCCATGAGGAGCTTGAACAGTTCATCAACTTTACTAACACCTTTCACCCCAACCTCAAATTCACCTGGACCATCTCCAATACCTCCCTTCCCTTTCTGGACCTCTCTGTCTCCATCTCCAGTAACCGTCTTAACACCGACATCTATTTCAAACGCACCAACTCCCATAGCTAGCTTGACTGCACCTCCTCTCACCCACCCTCCTGCAAGAATGCGATCCCTTACTCCCAATTCCTCTGCCTCCGCCGCATCTGCGCCCAAGATGGAGTGTTCCACTCCCAGACATCCCAGATGTCCTCTTATTTCAAGGACCACAACTTCCCTCTCTGTAGATTCATGATGTCCTCAACCGCATCTTTTGCATTTCTCGCACTTCTGCCCTCAAACCCCGCTCCCCCCAACAAAAATAAGGACAGAGTTCCCCTGGTCCTCACCTACCACCTCACCAACCTCCGCATACAGTGCATCATCCTCCGTCACTTCCACACCTGCAATCCAATCCCACCACCAAAGAGATATTTCCCTCTCCACCCCTGACTGCCTTTCATAGGGACCGTTCACTCCATGACTGCCTCATCTGATCCACACTCCCCACCAACCCCACCACATTGGGCCCCTTTCCCTGCAACCGCACGAGGTCCTACACCTGCCGCTACACCACCCCTCTCACCTCCGTCCAAGATCCCAGACAATCTTTCCATATCCAACAGGGATTCACCGATACATCCTCCAATCTGTTCTACTGTATCCATTGCTCCCAATGTGGTTTCCTCTACATCAGTGAGACTAAGCGCAGACTCAGTGACTGATTTGCGGAGCATCTGCGTTCTGCATGCTATAATCAACTACACCTTCTATAATCAACTAGCAACCTTCCAGTTGCTAACCATTTTAACACCCCCTTCCACTCCCACTCTCTTGGTGACAAGTCCATCCTGGGCCTCCTCCAGTGTCACAATGATACCACACAAACTGGAGGAACAATGCCTCATATTCTGCTTTGGGAGCCTGCAGCCCGCTGGTCTCAACATTGAATTCAAAATCTCACCACCCCCGGCCTAATCCCATGTCTAACCCTCCCTCCCATCCCCACCTCCTTGACCTGACACTACCTGTCCACCCTCTTTCGCACCTATCTGCCCCACCTTTCCCACTGACCAATCTCCACTACTCTCTACCTGCATCCACCTATCATCATCCCACCTACCTTCCCCCAGCCCCACCTCCCTCCCCCTATTTATTTCCCAGCTCCCTTTCCCCTTCCCAATCTTGATGAAAGGTATAAACCCGAAACATTGACTTTCTTGCTCTTTGACGCTGCCTGACCTGCTGTGTTCCTCCAGCACCGCACACCATTATTCTGCCATTCTCACATTCAGATTACTTAACCTTAACTAT